TGTGTGTGTGTGTGTGTGTATGTGTGTGTGTGTTTGTGTGTGTGTGTGTGTGTGTGTGTGTGTGTGTGTATATATATATATCTCCTTACGGAGCGTGTGGTATCTCCCGCAAGGGCATGTTAGCAGAGAGGGGGTGTGAGCTCTTCCCGGCATTATGGCTGTCTTAGAGGGGACACACGTTGGGATGGAGACAAGAGACAGCTCAGAGACCAGGCCGGGGTGTGCAGATACAGCCATGGAAGACGGAAAGGCGGCAGCACTGCGGCAGCTGTGGCCTCCCAGGCTGACCTGGGTCCAGCACGACATGGCCTCAGGGCAGTCTGTGGCCAGAGGACTCCGGTGAGGGGCCTCTCATCGGGGGAGCCCTGCTGGAAACTCCAGTGGCCATGTGCATACTGGCTCCGGTGAGGTTCAGGCTGTGGCTGCGAAGAGGCAGTCGTCAGCCATGCTGTAGTCTAGTCCTGCCACTGGAATGTCACAATGAGCTAAGAGGAGAGGTTTGTTGGGAGCGTACTCAGTGGCTCACAGAATAGAGGGGATTGTCACAAATCAAACCGCAGAGAAGGTAGGACTTTTTTTTTTTTTCTTTACAGAGAGGTTTTTGCTTTAGGGTGCATGGGCTCACTGGAGAGACACAGAGAGACAGAAAGCAAGAAATCAGCCCCTGGTGGGGATGGCCACACCGCAACCCCTTCTCCAGTCTCCTCTTGGAATCTTGGGCACGCACACAGGCATACGCACCTAGTATGAGTTTCAAGCTGCCCGGTCTGGGACTCAAATCGCTGTTGACTACGTGGGAGCCCAGAGACATAAGCATTACACTGTCTGCTGGTTCCGCCAGGACTCTTAATTTCTGAGGAGGACCTTTCTTAGGGGTGCCCTCAGCAGGTCATCTCAAACCTGCTGACAGTTCCCAGAGCAGAGAGAATGATTAGATCCTAGTGTCCCCCAACCCCACACTCCCCATGTGTGACTGGCAGGCTCCAATGTCACTTGGAGACTGAGTGAGGAGCGGTTTCTGAAAGGAAGAGAAGAGACGCAGAAGTTTTTAAAAAGCATTTTAATTTCTAAAATGTTTGGATTGCAAGTGATGGTCTTTTGTGCATTGGAGTGTATCAAATATTACTTGGAGAGAGATCAAATATTGCCAGAATCTTAGAACTCCAAAGTTATTTTTCATTACTGTGTTAGGCAGACTGTCTACTGTTTCACACTAATGTCACATTTTTATAAAAAAAATTCTTACCTCGGGACCAGCAGTTAGCGTAATGGCTATGTCGCTGAACTCCCATGTAGTTGACCGTGGTTCACGTCCTGGACCCCATGGCTTAAAACTCACGCCGGGCGCGTGTGCGTGCGTGCCCAAGATCCCGAGAGGAGAATGGAGGAGAAGGGATTGAGGCGTGACCATCCCCCCTGGGGGGTGATTTCTCACTTTCTTGCTCTCTTTGTCTGTCTGTCTGGCGAGTGCACGCGCCCTATAGCAAAAACCTCTCAAAAAAAAAAAAAAAAATTCTTACCTTGACCAGAAATTACTTCCAGCCATACCTTTCTGCCCACAGGTGTCTTCTCCCGCCCCCTCTCCTCCCGTCCTTCCTGCGGCGTCTGTTCCAGCAGCCCGGCTGATGCCACTTTCAGGTTCGCTGCTGTCCCTGAGAGGCAGGTTAGCAGGCCCTCCAGCACAGTAGCTTGCCTGTCTAGGGAAGACTCTTACATGGACGTTGCTTCTTGTAAGCTCAATTTAAGTTACAGGGAAAGGATATTTTCAGATTTTTTCGGGGACCAGCAGTTAGTGTGATGGCTATGTTGCTGGACTCCCACGTAGTCGAACGCGGTTCAAGTCCCAGGCCCGGTGGCTTAAACTCATGTCGGGCATGTGTGCATGCATGCCCAAGATCCTGAGAGGAGAATGGAAGAGAAGGGATTGCAGCATGGCCATCCCTCCTGGGGGGTGATTTCTCACTTTCTGTCTCTCTGTCTCTCTCTGTCTGGCAAGCACACATGCCCTATAGCAAAAAAACAAAAACAAAAAACAAACAAACAACAAAACAAAACAAAAAACTCTCCAACCCCTCCAAAAAAAAAAAAAGAGAGAAAGAGAAAATTCTTTCTGTTTCTAAGCTAATTTCTGAGATGAAGTTTTCAATTTTTTATGCATTTATTTAAAGATGTGTGCTTTTTTCACACAAGTAAGCCTCACTCAAATTTTCTTTCTTATCAGTTTTCTATTACACTGAAAATGAATATGTTAAACTTCAACATAATACAATTTTAAACTCCTAGAGCAAAAATGTTAACCTTCCTTGGCATTAGTTTGGATTGTAATTTTTAATTACAAAGGTCTAAGCAAATTTTAACTGCAGTTAGAAATTGTCACAATCTAATTTGCGTCGATGACTGATTCATATGTAATGAATTATGAACAATTTATAC